ATTCATCCAGTCGCCGTTAATATTTTTTCTTTCATACGATAAATTACTCAACAATTACTAAGTACCAAAGAGTTTAAAATATATAGCAAATATATTTCAAGCAGTTAAAAATTTCGAACCTTTTTCCAAGTGTGGTTGTTTGAGTTGTTAAACAGTAGCACACTAGATAGAGGTGGTAGATTAACCCTTTAGCCAGGAGTGAAATTCTGCTGGTACTCACTGGTAATAAGTACCGGAACGTATTTGAGCTGCTATGTCGTTTTTTTTTTATATTTATACGCACATTTTTTTTCTTTTACAAAAACAGGTCCACTTCACCCAGCTGAGTACGTCTATTTTTTATTTTTTGAGAATTTCACCCTTGCCTTTAGCTTAATTGATAAAACAATCACCTGGCGGGTTTGATCCCGAGTCAGGAAAAACAAATGATTACCACTAACACCTAGTCGACCAGATAAAACACTGAAAGAAAAACCCGACGTTAGGCCTCGTTTTTGAGAGAGAGAGAATATGGCAGTTTGGGTTAAAATGTGGCTCAACAGCAATAGCTAGTAGCACTTGTGTACAAAAGTACATGATGCTAATACAGCAGCAAGATGACAAACAATGATTTATAAAACTAATGAAAATATTTTATATAGAGAACACGCTAATTGTTTAAACAGAACACTGGTTTGTCTTCACACAAAGAAGACAGACCAGTGTCTTGTTGAAACACATAGCATGTTCTTTATACAAAATATTTTCTTTAGGCTTATAAATCGTTGTTTGTCAATTTATTATTAGCTAGTAGGTTAACCTTTTTGCTCAGTTAGTAGAGGAGTTCCATTCCATGTAAAAAGAAAAATTATCATGATTTTATATTAGCGGAAATTAGCCTCGTAACCAGGGTTTGTGCGTCTATATACAACTGCATAAATATTTCAATGTTATCAGCTACTGTCCATCTAACGGTCTTTGTATACTTGTGTATTTATATGTTGGTTTCCCAGGATACTGAATATCGATTACACATACCATTAAGCACCTTAATACGGCTAACGGTCGCTATTCTCATTTCCAACATTGCATTTCTTGTACTCAACCAGCAAGAGATTAAGTGTTACGTGACTGGTAAGAGTACGAATTGCTAGTCATGGTTCAGTATGATGCGTCGATTTTAAACAATTACCAAACACTGACCCAGCACTTTAACAGTAGTGTTGAATGATCAAACATTGAGTATAGATTAAAGATACGATTTATCAGATTATACGTATAATTTAACGCAAGTACATAAATGAACGAGGTATAGCGAGTGTTCAATGTGGTGAAGCATGTAAACAAGGTTAGATTATATTTTAAAACACTTTCTCGCAAGCTAAGTTCATAATTGTACGAGGGTTAGTATTCAAGGTGTTGAAGTACACAATAAAGATGGAAATATTTAAGTTTTTAACTGTACAATGGTTACCGTTCAAGGTGTTGAGGTAACGACATAAATATTTTTCATGTGTATAAGGGTTAACGTTCCAAGTTTTGAGGTACACAATAAAGATTAGTATGCTTTACTCTTATTAAGATTATCGGTGCTCGGGTGAGGGATAAAGTAAGATTACATAATAACCTTCGAACTTTTCTCTATATTATATTTTTAATGAGTGGATAAAAAAAACACACAGTTTTAGAGTAGACTATGTGATCTACACTTACCCATTCTCCTCCGTTCGTTTCATCCGCTAACATTGCCGCTACTACACACAACGCTACAAAACATCATCCATTCTCCTACTCGCTACTACATTCACTGTGACCTCGCCTGAGCTCAACAGCAGCTGCGTTAAGGGCTTAGGATAGATAACGTCTAACCTTTCTCTGGCAGTTTTACGGCCCGAGGGGTTGAAATCGTTGTCATAGCAACCAGTAGTTGCACATTATGGAGCGACCACATGATCGTGTGAAATCAATTTCCTCCAAAAATTTAAAAATATGTCGTTCAAGACGATACAATTACCTTCTCGCTCTTGGTAAATGTACTGCTACAGTATTTCAGATACAAGTAAACAAACAAGAGTTATAGATTCCAGAAGACATGTTACTTTCAAAGACCTTGTTCCAAATTTGTCTTGTTCAATACACACGTATACACAGTCACACACAGACTAGTAAATATAAACTATTTATTTTTTATTTACTAAAATCAATAGCGGTAATCCCACTGGCTCCTGGGTTTTAGCCCCACCCTTTCGAAATTTCAAAGTTATTTTTCTTTTTTTTTTATTATTTTTTGTATTTCTTTACTACACACTAGCCACGTGCTTGGAAAGTCCATACGGTACCCTAATATTTATTTATACGAAAAATTAAACGAGCAAGTAAATAAAAAATAACAACAGAAGTTACGTCATTCATTTTATAATACTCTGAATTTAGCAATGAGTATTAAGAATGCTACGCGTTGTTTGTCACTGTTTGTTTTACAAACCACGTGTTTGGGTGGACAAGATCTCCAACATGAAATGGTCTTTCCATACGTATGCACAAGTACAAATGTTATAAAACGTACAGTATTAAAAGTGTTTTACAGTGATTCATTGAGACGAGAGTTCCAATACGAATGCGTTTACCTACATAATGCGTAATAGGGAACGGTGAGAGAAACTTCTGTCAATTTCAGGTCCAGAGAGCGATGTACGTAGGTGTAACGTTTTTATCACACACACCAACGTATTTGTGGTGAAAAAGGAGAAGAACCAAACCCTAATTTGATCATTTATACCTGCACGGGAATTAAATAATCGTATCTCATTTGTAATCCGACTTCCATCAGAAAAGTTTGACATTTTACAGATAGCCATACTGTTGCCAATTACTGTTGTAAAATAACTAAATAACAAACAAGATAACATTTAAAAAAATAAATGTCAAAAAAAGATATAATGGTTAGTGTTACATGAGTATGGACGCAATTATGCTTATATAATAAGTTGGCAAACAATGATTTATAAGTATAATGAAGTGATCTATTTTGGGGGAATACACTACATGTTTCAACAGAACATTGGTCTGTGAAGAAGACAGGCTAATGTTCTGTAGAAACATATGGTACGTTCCCCCCAAAATAAATCACTTCATTATGCTTATAATTCATTGTTTCTCAACTTATTATTAATGGTTAGTGTTTATACCAAGCGACCAATAAAATTATGAAGTAAAAACGTTGAACTTTTTGTGTGTGTGAGCACTTTAGCCATTTCTGTAATAGATAAAAACACCTTAGTGATTCGATATTTTTAAATTTTTCTGTCCAATCTATGTCTTGTCTAAGTAACACTGAAATATTTTCGTTTGTCTGATGGAAGACTACACCTTTAATTGATTCCGCCCCCCAGTGGCACAGCGGTATGTCTGCGGACTTCGATACCCGTGTTGGGCAGAGCACAGATAGCCCACTGTGTAGCTTTGTGCTTAATTACAAACAAACAAAATCTTTAATCTATTCTCTTTAAAAATTGCTTTCGGAAATCAATAAGACCTGAATGTGCAGGGTGTGAGAAGTCAGAAGTCGATGAGTACTCAATTGTATTTCTTAGTCCTAAAAGAAAATACAGCACTCACTAAAACAGTCAATTGTGAATGTTATTATTGTATTCCGATATTGGCTTGTTTATAAATTTCTCCTCGGTTCATGATTTTTGACGCACTCTACGTATGTGTATAATCTGCCGTACTACTGAGGTATATCCAAGAAAAGCTGAATTAACCTTCGAGATACGCGGGATAGGTCCACTAGATAACAGGAGATTTGCTCAAGATATCAATTACGGAGTAGTGCTAATTCTCTTACTGAGTCGATGTAAAATGAAGTAACGAGAATGGACACAAAATATAATTCAAAATGAACAATCTTTCTTTAACACTAAATAAAAACACATTGTGTGTAGTTGCTGTTACATGGTACTATCGCCTTTACTTGATCACAGGACTGAATACCAAGTTTAGCTGCACTATACTGACACAGAGATGTTCCAGACCAGACTGACAAAATGTAACGTTCCTTGGTTCGCAAAAAACTTCACACGTGATGGTCATTCTCATTACAACGTAATCGGGGCCGTAGCCTATAGATATCACCTGAGTCCAACTGTTGAGGGACACTTCCGTCGACAGCCTTAAACAACATATTGTATTGAACAAAAACATCCATGGGTGGTAACAGGCATTATCCATTTCTGAGAACAACAAAGGAACGAGGGCAGGTAGAAAGAGTTCGACTTAAAAGTTTTCTCGACCACGTGTTATGCGAAAATTTTCACTCAAACAGTGCAAATAATAAATAGTATAATATGAAGAAAAGACAGGGATGTGTGATATATTCATACACCACACTACAATACACCATTTTGGAATGAAACAAAATAAAGCTTGTATTCTGTATACTCTGGTACAATGGATATATTCTTATTAGACAAAATCAGCTATCCTATGTGCTGGTGAAAGAATGAACACGGACCATTATTGTTGTTGTGTATTTTACGGTCGATATATTTCATTAATATAAAGGCAGTGTTTGGGATTTTCAGTTTATGGGCTTTCCAGTAAAATTAGTTTTCTGCCATAAATTTGCGTAAAATAAAGAAATATACTTTAAAGTAAAATATAATGACTATAAACATGTTTTGCGGAAAATAATAGAAAACTAGAATTTGATGCCCAAATTTCATGACAACAAAGTGCTGAAATAGTGTCGTTTTTTTTTTTAGGGTTAGCAGTATCTTTGCTCTACAACTTAAAGGTGATTATGTTATTTGGATTTCAAAGAAATGAAAACTTTAAAGATTTTTTATTCACGTTTTCAAGTTAAGTGCTTGAACTGTGCGCTCTAAACAAATTTTATATTGCCCAGTCTTAAAGAACAAGATGATCGTTAGAGGGTGCTATTGCGAAACGTTACATTACGAGAGTTCAGTTTGATTTTTTTCCGTATTTAAAATTAAGTATGATATAATTCTAATACCTACCATAGCCAAGAAATAAAATTTCTCGAACTCTCCTTCTTGTTCTTTAATAACAGGCAATGAATCTGCAACATTTTGGTGTTTATCAAGTGTTTCCTGCCCAGCTTGATATAGCCATCCCAATACCTAGTGGGGAAAAAAGTTCACAACTACAAAAAATATTCTTAGTTCATAAACGTCCCTTTTTTAAAAAAAGAAAGAAGCTTTAGCGGAAATACAATTATCGTCACTGACATTGAAAATATATGTCTATAAATTGCACTAATTTAACATCTAGGAGGTATGGAATAAAACTAGAATTTATGCCTTTTATTCTCATATATGTAAACATAGGAGGTATAGCAGTGTGATGGTGGGAGGAGTCTGAGGTAATATATCACAGACCTTTACAAGGAAGGATATTTGTATAGTAAGATTTTAAGCCACAAGGAGTTAAAGGACACAAAATTTCAAATAAGGGTACCATTCTCCCCTTTGAAAGTTGAATAACTCGTATAACAGTGTGTTTAGGAAAGAATAGGCTACGACAGCACATCCTTATCCAATCCGAAGAAACGCCTTGAACTTGCTACGGTAACGATAGAGAACTCTCAAACACAAAAGATCACTGCGATGAAGCTGAGTATATCTCCTGATATACCGTTAACAAGAGAACAAACAAGAATTTGAAGTTGACGAAGATTTACAAGACAAATGCCCCTCCACCCCCACCCCCTCGGTGGCTCAGTGACGAATATGTGGCCTTATAACACTAAAAATCAGGTTCCGATATCTGAATATTTGTCTGTTAATGGACTTATGAATCACCCTGTCTATTATACTGGAGTGTATATTTTACTTTGATTATGATGCGTATATTATTCAATTCAGTCCAATTTTTCTATATCAGAATAAAAGGTTGAAAGCGAAAAGACGTTTTTGAAAACGTTTCTTCCATACTAGCAGAGACCCGCAAAATGTTTTGCGGTCAGATTAATATCTTTATTGCAAGGGTACTTCTATAAAATCGGGATTTCAAAAATAATACAAAAGAATTATGATCTCACACACCGAAATCTACAAACCCACTTAACAATAGTTAAGCCTTTATTAAAAGTACGGCCTATAATGAATAGAGAGAAATTAACACTGTAACTTGTATACATTTTAGTTTAGTTAGGGCTAAACTTTACCTTACTTAATACTATCAATAAGTAAATTTGTAACGTAATTCTAACCTAACCTAACTTTAGACTTTTTAAAAAAAACTGATAAGTTTTTAATACGCTGTTATATAAAATGTCTACTAAAGCATATTTACATCCGCCTTTTGTTTACATCCGTTGAAGTGAAGTGCGCGCGCGCATGCTCATTTAGATAGTGAGGTGCTCGTGCATTTTTAGGACATACAAAAACTGAGTATGATTACAATAGATTTAAATATATTTTCATGGTGACTCAATTTTATTAAATCAAGTGAACATCCACTACCCTTAAGTTTATCTTACAAATTTCTAATGGTTCAAAAGTGAAAGTGTACGAATTTCAACAAACAAATATAACAACGATCAAAGAATACATATATGAAAATTTTGAATAGCATCTATGAACGTTTATTTTTAATTTTTAAGAAAGGTAACTGAACCATATTGAAAAGCAATATGTAATTTAATTGTGGGTTCAGAAAAACTCTTCTAAGGGTGAAAAATGTAAAGAGATTTTAAAAGTGAAAAAAAGATAATAACTTAAACTCAATAAATTAAATTACATTTTCCTTGGTGAATTTGTTAAACATGAAACGTTACAGTGGGCTATCTGTGCTATGCCCAATGTAGAAACTTAACCTCGAATTTTAGCATTATAAACCTACAAACTTATCGCTGAACCACTAAGGGGCTTTCCTACTTTCATATAACATAACAATGTTTTTGGACATCTCGGCTGTCCCATCCTCTAACCTAAATTGAAACTATTAATAAATAAATTTTAAAAAATCTTAAAACCATCCCTTATCATTCATATACTTATCAAGCTTTCTCTTAAACTCAGTTAAATTTTCTGCCTCCACAACATCCAAAGGCCAACCACCCTGTTAGAAAAATAAAACTGTCTTTAGCTGTAAGATGTATTCCTACCCTGCCAAAATTTATACTTGTGTCCCCTATAGTCCTACTGTTCTCAC